CCAAACACCAACCAAAATAAAGAAAACAGAAACACAAGGACAAGGAAGCAATGGATACGCCGACCTACCAGAAAGCAAAAGATAAAAAGGCTATAAGAAGACCTCATATTTCAATAATCACCCTAAATGTGAATGGACTTAACTCACAAATAAAAAGGCACAGAGTTGAAGATTGGATCAAAAAACAAGACCCAACCATATACTGCCTCCAGGAGACACATCTCAGTTCCAAAGACAAATATAGACTCAAAGTGAAAGAATAGAAAATGAGATTTCAAGCAAATGGCATTCAGAGAAAAGCGGGAGTAGCTGTACTAATATCAGATGAAATAGACTTCAAAATAAAAACGTAAACAAAGATATAGAGGGATACCTTAAAATTATAAAGAGAATCATTCACCAAGAAGACATAACAGATTAATATCTAATCTCCAAGGTAGGGAGCCTTGAAATATATAAAACAATTACAGACAGAACTAGAGAGAGAAACAGACCAAAATGTTATCATACTAGGGGATCTAAATACCCCACTGCCGGATATAGACAGATCATCCAAACAGAAAATCAATAAGAAAATAATGTCCTTAAATGATACATTTGACCAACTGGACATAATTGAGATTTAAAGAGCCTTCCATCCCCAAACACCTGCACATGGAACATTCTCAAGGGTCCACCTCATACTAGGACATAGAGATAGCCTCAACAAATATAAGTAGGTTGAAATCATACCAAATATATTATCTGATCATAATGCATTGAAGCTGGAGATCAACTCTAAAAAGAAAGCAGGAAGAACCTCAAAAACATGGAGATGAAACAATATGCTACTACAGAAACACTGGGTCTGAGAAGAAATAAAAGAGAGATGAACAGATATGTAGAAACGAATGATAATGAAAGTACAACATATCAAACCTTTTGAGACATGGCAAAAGCAGTCATAAGAGGAAAGTTCATATCATTACAGGCCTATCTCAAAAAACAAGAATGTGCCCAAATAAACAACCTAACACTCCATGTTAAAAACAAGAAAAGGAAGAATAAATGAAGCCTAAACTCAGCAGAAGGAAAGAAATATTAAAAATAAGAGCAGAATTAAATGAAATTGAAAACAAACAAACAAACAAAAAACAATAGAAAAATAAATGCAACAAAGAGCTGGTTCTTTGAAAAAGTTAATAAAATTGAAAAACCCATGGATAGGCTCACTAAAGAAAAAAGAGGAAGGACACAAATAAACAAAATCAGGGATGAAAGAGGGGAAATTATGACTGACATCGCAGAAATACAAAGGTTCAAACAAGAATACTATGAAAAATTATATAACACCAAATTTAATAACCTAGACGAAATTGAAAAG